TCTGTCCCAGCCAAACCAGTACGCGGTCAAGCTGTAAGTCTGACTGTAGATTGTCAATAGAAACACCTTGTTCAGAGTAGTACAGACCTGAAGTGTCAGTATTAATGCAGGTGTTAGGCTCATTTCTGCAGAGGCCAGGTGCCTGTACCCATATGTATTTGGTCCCGTCCCTTCTCTGAAGCTGTAGCTGGGGTATTGGCAGGGGCACCTTGTGCAGCAATTACTGTCCTGGATCCTCTGGTCCTGCTTTCAGATGAGGTTTCAGTCAGCCTTTCTTTGCACGCTGTGTGCACAGGGCTGCATCAGGCAGAGGAACTGGGTCTGCGTTCCTCGTCTGTCATGCTGGTGTGATAATTGGACGTCTTCAGAAGATGTGTAGACTTGTAGGTACGCGTGTTGTCAGTAATGTAGCCTGTAACGGGAAATCTCCAGGCGCTGTTATGATGCTGCAGAGCAAGCTTCAGTGGGACGTGTGGGTATTTCACATTCTGTGTGAAGGAGACTTCAAAGAAAGGCAGAAATCGTGATCTGTGAAACCCTGAAACTGAGCCGGTGTGGCTGTCAAGTGTGTGATCCTCTCTTCTTTCTTCCTCCCTTCTAGATGCTGCTATCTTTGCGGCAGGAAGTGTGCGAAAAGCTGAATCTCCCCGTTGAGACGGTGGAGCTGAGCATGGGCATGTCCACAGACTTCCAGCACGCAGTAAGTCTGGTTTCCTTCTGCCACCCCTTCTCTCGGGAACCAAACGTACCAGCACCAGCAGGAGGCACCCCAAAGTCCAGCCCAGGCGTCATCCAGAGGGGCCTCTTAGGCCTCCCCTTGGATGGAGATACTGATGGTGCTGTTCTGTGAAAAACAGCGCTCCTGGGATAGAGTTCTGGGGACCAAAACAGACCCTAGCTGTAGCTGCAGATGGCGAGTACACGGGGAGCCGTCCTTCTGTGACACGGCGAGCGTCGAGGGTGGTTACGGACTGTGTTGGCAGGTGTGGGTGGCAGCCTGCCCTGAGCTCCTCCTTTCTGTCTCTTTGTAGATAGAGGTTGGATCCACAAACGTCAGGATTGGAAGCACTATTTTTGGAGAGCGAGATTATTCCAACAAAGCGGTCGGTGGCAAGGCCCCTGCTGAAACTAAAGGCGAAACGGAGACCTTGGCAGTGCAGGGTCATTAGGTGGAAAAAAAAAAAGTGGCCTCGACAGAGGACAGATGATGGGAGACCTCACTATGCATTCTTACCTCCCTCTGTTTCGGCACCCTGTTGTGATGGTGAGAGGGAATTCCTTGTAACAGAACAGAGGCCAGAAATGCCTCATAATTTATTGTGATTATAGAGTACTCATAGAAACTGGAAATTTTTATAACCAACAAATGATAAGAAAATTTATTGTTGAAAGTGACTGTGGTATCTTGGCTCCTTCAGGGTCATTAAGAACAGTGACTTTTGGATAACTAGGCTGAACAAACTAAACGTTTGTCAGGATGGAGTTCCTAATGAGCAAGATGTATCTGCAGCAGTGTCGGTGATTATGTTTTCACTGAGGACTGAATTCTTCATTAAACAAGTTACAATCTTGCCAGAGACCTATAAATGTTTCCCCAAATAAAAGTTTTGCAGGTGGTCACTACTGAGGGATGCTTACGTAGAAACTGATAGAGGCAAACTGTGACACTGGAGAGACTGTGTCCGTTTAAACAGAGGACGAATAACAAGCACACACGGATGGATAAGGAACACAGTCGCCAGCATGAGTTCATGGCGTAAGGTTTTGGATGCAGATTGCAAGTGTGGGAGTGTCTTTTCGGCTGAGGTTTATATTTGTCCTTTTCAGGCTGACACCGCTAACTTTTCCCATTGGTTCCGTGTCTGCTCAGATCTGGGATGCTTTCAACCTTCCCCTCTTGTGAAGTGTTGTTGGGAGTTATTTTCATCCTGCGTGGTAGTTCTTGACGCTGTAAGTTCTTTTTGGTCAGAATGGGGCTTTTCTGCAAGGTCCCTGCCATCAGCTTGCTGTTGCTTTCCAAGGCAAGTCGCTTAACTGTTCGGTGCCTCCACCATCCCGTCGACATCCGTATGAGGATAATAATGCTTGCCTCACAGAGCAGCAGCGAGGCTTGCTAGAGGCCCTTCGGGAAAAGTACTTCAGAAAGTAAGGTATTATACACATATTACTGTGTTCTAGGTTCCTGAAAAAAAATCCAGTCGCCCTGACAGAGCTTCTGGGCGATGTCTTAATATCTTAAGCGCTGGCCTAAGCCTTCACTTCTGGAAGAGGGGAACGACTCTTTCGCTGCAGTAACTGTTTTCATTCAGATGTGAGCGGAAGCTCCTGCATTGTCACGTGCTATTTGGCCAGCGGTAGCTACGGCAAGTCTCTCTTGCAACCTGTGTTGCAACTACATTTTTGGGCTTTTGTGTGCTGCTAAGAGGACGAGACATCAGTTGCCAGCAGAAATACCCTTCCCAGGCTTTTCTCTGTGTGTGTGTGTGGTTAAACCTAGCTGTTGGTTTTACTCTCTAACTATAAATGCTGAATGTAAATGAAAAGAGTCAACTCTAACGCCAACCTGTCATAGCTACGTGGTTTAGAAGCAACATGCAGTCGGAGCTGCCCTCGGCACTGCACCGTGTGTTGTTTCATAGTCTACTAATAAAAAGTGGTGAATTTTAATACCATCTGTGCCAACTACAAAGCTATTAAAGATGTTATTTTTATGTTCCAGTGTTGTGAATAAATGCCCTGAGTTGCCGTTGAAGCTATTTCCCTAACCTGGAGCTGCTGTTGGGAGAGACTCGCTTGTCTCGGGATGGCGGGAGGAGGGTGGTTTGAAAGAGAGCTGAAACAGAGCTGGCAAAGAAAGCGAAGCTTTCTTCGATCAGAAGGGGAAAAAAAATAGCTGCCGAGTCGGGCGAGATGTCAGATAGCGTGAGCTATTTCTGGAGAAGCCCTCTGGGTGGCACTGCTCCCCAGGTCCGGGGCAGCGCTCCTGGTCCACCGAAGGAGGGACGACAGCTCCTCGGCTGCTCGCGGACAGGTACGGATCAGTAATGTGTCTCAAAAATAACTGTATCTTTCCATCTGGTGGTTGAAGTGAATCCCTTCCTCTTCCACCTCTTTCTTCCCAGAATTTCGGCACCACACACTGACCACAGATCCTCGTGTTTGCAAGTTTCACAACATTAAAAGCCTTTCGTTTATTTTACAGAACAGAGTCAGGACACCCGTTCTCCTCTCTGAATTTGATTCAAATGCGCGAAGACTGCCGGTGTCCCTGCAGTGTTTGTTTGCTACTCGTACAATGTTGGCTAGAGTTCTCCATAGCAAACGAGGAATGAAAGTGATCTGCTACCTGAGCTTACAGAGCTAGCCCAGCCCCGGAGCAGGCGGTTCTGAGCCCGAGGGGGTGATCGGGGACCCCCTGCTCTGCTCACCCCTCGCTGACGGCCCTTTCCCACCAGCCTGCGGCTCCAAAACCAGCTGCGCTGCCGCAGTTCTTTCTGTTCAAGCACGGAACAGCGGGGTGGGCTTACGTTGAGAATTGTCTTGCGTTGGGGCTCACGTGCCCTCTTGCTTTTCCTCTCTCGGGCACTTTGTGCTTATTTCCTGAGTTGAAACTGGATGCTAGCCAAGCTTAAAGAAGTAGCTAATGGTGTAAACTGGGAGGTGGGTGTGCACGGGTGGCTGTGGGGCAGCGCAAGGCTTGTCCCGGCTTCCGTGCCCTGGAGTTCTGACTCGGCACAGCGGTATTTAAGGAGCAGACTGGCTCACGAAAGCGTGTGGTCTTCTGGTTTTCTGATCTGCCTGCGTACTCTGCTAAAACGTTTAGGGCTCTGTCAGCTTTGGTGGTGGCCTCCCGCATGAGACCCCGGCAGAACTGTGTGCGTCCTGGTGGTTCTGGAGAGCCGTGCCACGTGGCGCTGGGGACGCGCTCAGCTGTGGGACACCTCTCCCCTCCAGCCGGGTTGTGTCCGGGCTGCGCAGGTGGCCTGCGGGGAGCAGCTTGGGTGCTGTGCCTGGACAGCAGCGCTGGCTGCAGCTGTGGTGGCTGGTGTTGGGTTGTGACACGGCACCGGAGGGGAGAGGAGAGCAGTGTGATCTGCTCCCTTCCTCTGCAGCTGTTTCTCTCGCCCATCCTGCTTCCAACAGGCTTTTTTCTTCTGACTGCACCGTGCCTGAGCGCTTTGCTGTGCTCCTCCTGTGGCTGAGCCTTCCCGAAGCCGGTGCAGTGGGCAGTGCCCACCGGTGCCTTCTGGCCCTCCTCGAGGCACCCACCTCAAGCCTGAGCCGGGAGGGTGCGGAGCGGCGGTGTCGGTGACGCCGGACACCTGTCCGGGGGGAGCGGGGCGCAGACCACCCACTCCTTCCATGGAGGTCACCCGGCAGATGGTAACTGTTGGTCACTGGAGGGGAGCCAACGAGCCAGAGATGAAAGGCTCCCTGGCCTCTTAATGAACCACTCCCCGCTCAGGCACCTCGGCCCCCTGCAACACAAGCTTTATTTACATCTATTAAAAGCACTTGGCCGGTTTATTGAAGCAGCAGTGCTCTCGCTCCCCGCTCCTCGGGGCAATGTCACTGTCAATATTTGCCTTGGAGAAATGCGTCCAGCAGACGAAGGCCTCTTTTGCGGCCAGAGGGACGCCTCCTCCCTCGTGACTTACAGCCCTTGCTGCTGGCCGATGGCGCAGGCGCTGTCACCTCCTGGAGCAAAGGCACGGCCCCAGGTTTCCCAGCAGTCCCCTGAGGTGACGCTCATTTCCACGCTGTCCCTGGGATGGGGGGCTGGCTAGGCTGACACACACACACACACACACCCCCACACACCCCCAGAGCCGTGCTGGCGTGCAGAGCAGGACTTCACGTGCGCTATGGAGAAAAACTCTTCCTGGGGGGTTTGGGGAGCATCTGTGGGCAGACTTGGCTGCTTCTAAAAGGAATAAAACTGTCAATTATGCTGGATGGGGTGATGTGCTGCTGCTTTACCTTTCCTGGCTCCCGGGGAGATGGGCTGGCTGCTTGAAGCCATCCTCATCCTCGGGGAAGTGCTGGTGCCGGAGCAGCAGCCTCTCCTGTTAGAGGCACTCTCTGGAGTTGCTGAGCTCCGCAGGCTCTGGTTACCCATTAGGTGGGAGTCCAGGCATCGTTCACTCCCCTTCTTCCACAAAGCCAGTCTTGATTTATTTTTTATCAGATAATATCCTTTGTGCTGCAAAGTGTCTGGAGCCGAGCTTGGCCTCCCTGCCAAATCGCAGCGCAAGCTGGGTGTGCGATGCACGCAGCAGATGTGCAGGGAGGCAGCGGGGGCCAAGCCCAGCTCCGCGAGCGGGGAGGGCTTGGAGGGACACGAAAGCATCTGCTCCCCAATGCGTGGCACTCGGTGCCATAGCCAGGCCGGGTCCCGGTGCCCAGCACCCTGCCGTCTGTGGGCAGGTGCAGGGTGCTCAGCTTCCATGAGAATATCAAGAGATTTGGGTCAGTTCCCTGCTCTGCCTCAGGCTCCTGCTGTGGCCGGGGATGCTGCGGGCAGGTGAGAGCCCGGGGGCGGCCGGGAGCAGCTCGGCCTGGAGACAGAGCCCGCTGCAGCCCTTCAAAGTGGAAAGCGTGTTTATTTCTGGGATATCGGGTTTCCGGCAGGAAGGCCGGCAACTGCCAAGGTTTTTATTGGATCCCAGTGAAAGGAATTTAGAGAGTCCTGTGCTTGTTGTCTTTCTCTGTGCCTGCATTTTTACCTTTAAATGGGAGCGAGAGGCACAGGAATTTGGCATCCGGCACCGGCACGTCCGTGGTGATGGAGTTTCAAACAGGTTGCCTTGTTGTCTCCCGGGCAGGAGGCATCACGAGGGATTGGGGCTGGGAAAACACAGAGAGGGGCTTGGAAGCAGTTGAAAGAACCTGAAGTCCATTGGGCTTGAAGCATGTGGGAAGTGTTGCTTGAGCTCCTCTCCTCATAGCGGGGCTGGGGCCGGGTATTTCACATTTATTACTAGTTTGGACAAGGTTTTGACTGTTCTTGGAGGTAATTTTATAGGAGATTGAAATTCTGAAGACCATGTACAGTGGCTTGATTGCTTCAATGTGTCGTGGAGACAACTCCAGAGCTCTGATTGCCTTTGGATGCTGCCAGCACTGACCAACATCCTCCAGGGCCTGAGATCCGTGCCAAGTCCCGTTCCTGTCCATGCATGGGGGGCTCTTGGCTTAACGCTGGGGTTTCCCAGGGCCCCTTCTAGCCCAGCTGTAGAGCCGCTGCCCTGAGGAAGGGCAAGAAGAGGGGCAGCGGCTGTGGTTTGGATCAGGGTCAGAGCTGCACTCGGTAGGAACACGAGTGTGAGCAGCTCCCTGGCTCTCCCTGCGGAGGAGAAACAAAATGGGCCATTAAGGCAACGCAGAATAACGCGGGGATGAGAGTGCTCTGGAGCAGCAGGGCCACCCGCAGCGAGGTGCAAGCCCGGGCTCTGCTCGAGGTCCCTCCAGCCGCTCAGTGCCGAAGTGTTGGGCCATTCCCTTGGGGATGAGGCACTGAAATCTTGTGTCTTGCTCCCAACTCTTGAGCTGATGGGCACAGAGGTGAGTGGTTCTGCACGGTGGCTCCTAGGGTCCTTGCAAGTGCTGGAGTTCTTGGAGACAAGGCTTTCTTCATTTAGGGCTTGATCCAGCGAAAGAAGGTGGCTGAGCCCTGTGTACTGCGGTGTTTTGGGATCTCTCTGTTTGGTGCTGGGTTCGGTGTGCTGTGGGTGCCTGTTGTCTAAATCAGATGTCAGACAAGCAGTCTCTTCTCTCCCTTGGTGGGGATACCCGGGGAGAGCAGTGAGGTCCAGCCTGTAGGCTCATCTTCTCTAGAAGAAGGAGGGAAAACCACTCTTGCTTTCTGCAGTGTTTAAAGTGGGAGGCACAGCTCACCACTTTGGTTTTTGGGAGGGGTTTCATACTGTGCAGATGCTTGCAGGATCTCTGAGCGGATACTGGACACAAGCGGTTTCCTGTTGCTCTTCCAGCTTCAGCTGCAGGATCTGGGATCAGCATCCTGCAGCGCTGAGCACAGGAGGGTAATTTCTGCAGTGGAAATTTTGCTCAGTGGAAAAAAGAAAAAAAAAAGAGGGGATACTGTTGATTGTTGTGGTTTTTACTAGCAAGATGACGCCGGTCTCCAGGGCTCTGGGGTCCTATGGCTGACCACCCGGGGCCAGGGGGTGGGAGGTCTGTGTGGGGTGTGACTGGCCACGGAAGAGCTCTTGGGGCTGCAGTCCTTGGTCCTGCCTGGCGGGAGGCAGCGAGTGCCCGGGCAGGGCTGAATGAGGGTAGGGAAGAGCTGGAGAAACAAGGCAACCGCTGGTTAAGCGGCTAACGAGCTGTGCAGGACCCTGGGCTGCTTACACTCCCAAACAAAAGCGCATGTGGACACAGCTTGGGCGTGTGTGCTGATGAGTATCTTCTCTTTCCCACCCCCACCGCCACAGCAAGATGTATTTATTTGGAGAAAGGAGTAAATTTCTTTTCCCCTCCAGGAACTATTGGTCCTGGAGAGAAACCGCATTCCCAGAGCCGTCTCTTGTCATCCTTCCATGACCCTCTTCCTCCGCTCCCTGGTGCGGGGTCCTGGAGACTTCATTGCCTGCTTTTGATCCCTTTTGATTTGAAGCTGCAGTGAGCCATGGCCTCAGAGAAGCGGAGCCCCGGGGGGGAAGAGAGGGACGGGGGCAGCACAAGAGGCAGCGGGGACGTGGGAGGGGGGAGCGGGAAGGAAAATATTGAACTTAGCGTGAAAACCAGTGAAGCAAACAGGGAAGGTAAGAAGGGAAGAGTGTTAACTGTGGAGCGGAGGCCAGGAGGGCACGGAGCAGCGTGACCATGAAGTGAACTGTGTGAGTTTGTGCAGGGGGTTCCTCTGTGGTGTGGGGTCCCGGCAGGCAGTGGGAGGCCACAGAGCCCCCACGTGCAGGAGGGCTGGTGGGGCCATGTGTGTGCCACCACCCTGGACACAGCACCCTGTACTTGTCGCAGCTGGGACGCTACAGTGAGGCATCGCATCGTGGCCCATATGGACCACGTGCGCTATGGACCACGCAGGGCTCCAGCCCTCCCTGCTGATGCCCAGGGCTCCAGCTCGGGACCAGGCGGGACTGGAGCTTCTCGCCCTCTGGGAGGATGCTCTGTTCCACGGCGGCTGTAGCTCTTGGTCCTGTGGGACCCCACGGAACTCCAGCCCCTGCCCGCGGGGGCTCCAGCTCTGCGCCGTGCGGGATTCCATCTCCCTCCCACGCAGGCTCCAGCTTTCCAGGACCACTCCGAGCTCCGGCCCACGGGGGACTCCATCTCTCTCCCACGCAGGCGCCCGCCCG